TGGGCTGTTCCCTGAACAGTTCCAACAGCCGCTCTGAGTTGATCATGGCTGACTGGATGGAACGGTAGAAGGTGCCAAAGAAGTTCAAGGGCCCTTGCAATTGGGCCATGTATGTGAGGAGTGAAACAAACTGCCCAACATCCCGCTGTCCTAACGATACCTGATAAGCCGCGATAAAGCATGCAATCAGCAAACCTAGCATGAAAACGGTGTTCTGCGATGTATTCAGCAGATTGAGGGAGAAGAGAACGTGGTATTCGGCCTTCTGGAAGTCAGACACAGCATTTCTGTATCTGCCAAACTCATAGTCCTCCGCATTGAAGTATTTCACGGTTTCATAGGAGACCATAGAATCGTTCCTAGCCATACTATAAGCTTTGCACAACATTGAGTATTAACCGGTAATATTGTGTACTTACTTAACGGCGTCTTCTTGCCGGGACTTGTTGACCATCTCTCTGCGGATTTCCGCTCGCCATTGTGCCATCCTCACGGTGACGTAGAGGTAGCAGAAAGTGACGATAGTCACCACGAGCGCATAATAAGCGTCTAGGAAGACAAGGAAGAAGACGATCGCAACACAGAGGTCAACCAACATAGGGACGACCTGAAAGGTGACTTGTTCGAGGAACGTGTTGATCGAACTACCTTTGCTCAGGGCAGATAGCACCTCACCCGTCTTTTTCCCAAGGTGGAAATCGAGACTCAGTCCATGTACGTGCTCGAAAGCCGCAGTCGAGAGCTCCATGTAGGAGTACTGGCTCACAGGTATCCATAGATTAGACCGCAAAGAACCGATGAGACCCTGGTTGCCCTGCAACCACCGGTAGAGAATGTAGAGGCAAATGTTGAACCACGGAACTCGAAACTCGCCATCTTGTTTGGAGAGCATGTTGGTGATGACACCTGCCTGGTAAGGAACCAGCACATTAACGATCCGTTGCAGTACAATTAGCAAGAAGCAGATGACCACTACTATCTGCAACCGACGAGATTTTGATGGCCATAGGTATGGGAAGAATAGTGAGTAACCGCTAAGATACTCCCACCAACTAGTCGACGGAACAGTAGTCGGGCGAACCCACGGGTCGGCGGGCTTGGAAGTCTGCGCGTGACCATTCGTTGAGCCGTAGGCATTCCCATTTTCTGCGTGGTGGCCGTTAAGTAAACCCGTGGTCTCATTGACCCCATTGACGTGGCCGTGAGCCCTTTTGGAGTTGAAGTTGATCGTATTGAGCATGTAGGACATGACCATAGCCATGAGGAACAGTACCCGAACACAGTTCAGAACTACCTCCGCTAACTCCCACGGCGTTATGCCTTGTCTCAGACGACCACCAACAGGGTTCCCAACCACAGGTTCGCGGTGTACTTCGGAATAGATGGAGAGGGAGGTGCCTAAGATACCCAGTTCAATCGGAATCGCCACTAGCCATGGAATAAATTGGGCGAAGGTTGGAGAGGGGTTTGTATCCAACAAAGAGACGAGTATGATCGCGTAGTCGAAGAATGAGCCCACGACATAGATCTAGTATCATTAGCGACTACGTCCCTCCCATTTCTTGAGGTTCCAACCCAAGCTTGGGTCAGAACTAAAAGCTGAGGCAAGGCAGAGGACTTACCACCACTGATTGGCCACACCACCAGTGTTCCGATCTTGCGATCATCACATGGGCCACATTAAGGGCACCATCCGCGGCGATTGTCAGAAGTACTCCGACAGACAACCACTTGAACAACAGTTTTGTGCGTTCTGAGAACTTTTGCGGTGCCTTGATCACGGTCATTGTACTCCGGGACCGTTTGGGGAGTGGTCGCCCACCGGGGCCGGTATGTACGGCATTGGCGTTCTTGTTCGCATTTCTAGCCGTGACAATGGAGCTCGCAATGAAGGAGGCGACAAATATGAGGAGCAGAATAATGGGCGATGCGATGCGCAAATACGCCACCATATCGCGAGTTGCGTGTTGGTAACCCATGATGTGCAGTCCTCCCAATTGGCCGATATAGAATCAGAAGACCATTTAAGGTATTTCCATGACCTAGCGACCACCTTCCTCTTCTAGATTGACGCCGAAGACCGCAAGATGCGACAGGTCCACACTCGTGAGATGACGGGGATATATTGAAATAGGATGGTAGGAGGCGAAAGCTGCTCCGAAATTTTTGGCGATCGAAGGAGCCAAAAGTTGTAATTGACTGGGGGTGGATCGACAAGCACGTGGGAAGAGTAGCCTCTTTTTCGATCTTCTATTAAGCTTAGGAATGGAGGAGAGATGTCTCTCTCTTAACCAAAAACGACAGGCGGAATAAGAAAAGAGGAATAAAAGAAAATAAAAATGTCTCGTAGAAAAGAAAAGGGCAATGGAAGAGTAGGGGGAGAAAATAAAAGAAAAAAGTTTTGTTCAATAAGTACAGGAGAAGAATACAGATAGGCTAATCCCGAAACTATAAGAGAGGAGTGAAAAGAAACAAGATCCGGGAAAGACTTGCACCAGGGAAGATGATATCAAGCAGGGAAAACAAAGAAGCCCCAGCAGGGAGGGGGGGAGGCCAGCGGAAGAGAGGGAAGGAGGAGGGAAAGACGGAAGAAAGAAAAGAGCAGGTAGGGAAAGACAGGAAGAGAAGATAGCAAGAGGCAACACGCGAGAGGAAAGGATCGTTGGAGGATACAAATAGTAACTGGACGGTCGAGGAAGAATGACGGTGTGGATGCGAAAGCAGCAGTCGAGAACCCAGACTAGCCGGACCCAAAGCTACTCCAAGCTTGGTTGGCTTCGGAAGGCGAAAAATAGGAATCGGATCCAGCTGAACCAGAGTAGGGGGATCAAATCAAATAAAATAAAAATCAATTTATTTATTTAATTTGTATGAAGAGGAAGGATTGTAATTAAAACAAATGATTTATTTAAATCATAGGAACGGTCAGTCGCTCTTCTTTGCTTTCCTTTTCTCTTTCAACGGTCGGTTTGCTTTGCTTTGCTTTTATTTTATTCCAGTTAATCCATTTTATCTCATTCTTTTTATTTTTGGGGGGGGTGAAATTCTTCGAGGATGATCAGATGCAAAATCGGAGGTTTTTATTATATGCCTCTTGCTTTTTCATTTTCGTCATTTTCGTCCTTTTTCTTTTTATTTTTCCCTCTTCCCTCCATATTCCTTTGCATGCTGTTCCTCCCCACCATTGCTTAAATGTTACGTGTCGAGGAGCAAGGTGTGGCTAAAACAGCCCAAAGTAGACAAAAAAAAATATTAAAAATTAAATGTGTTTATTTTTTGTCTTTTTCTCAAAAGGCGGAGAAAAGGACGGTGTGCTGAAATGAATGATCAAACTACAGTGTTGTACGTAGCTGTTTGTCAATTCTAGTAGGAAGCAAGTACCTGCTGAGGCGCTGTTCATGGCCATTTTCTCGGGTCGGGGTGGATTTGACCAAATGATTCGTGCCCAATGGGAACAGGGGTTGGAATGAAGGTTCGAGACTTGAGGACAATTCGGCCGCCGACGGTCACGAACCCTCAAGAAGCATTTAGGAAAGAATGGAAGCCTGAGTAAATGACTTGACTTACCACTCTGTTGAGTACTAGCAGCTATACTAACTGTGGGGTACAAGAACCCAACTCCTGGGGCTTGACTATATGTTTCGAGCGAGACATACTTGTTGCATACATACATGATCATACTGCTACTTACACACAGCTACTAGTACTACCACTGCGTACTGCGATAAAGTTACTAAGTACATACTACCACCAGCTACAGGTAGATACTCGGTACAGTAGGTAGCTGCGAGCCAACCTGTGAGTGGAAGGGTAGAGATCGTTGTGTAACCCTCGATAGAGGAGAAAGAAGCAAGAGAGATTGACGATCTTTTCAGGGCTCAGATGTAAACACTTACTGTAAACTGAACTAAACTAAAAAATACAAAGGGAAAAGGCCAACAGGAGGGGGGAAAACTCAGGGCGTAAGGATAGTGTGGTCGTGACAGATCTCGATGGAGGAGGGCGAGGCGCAGATCGATGCGAGAGGTAACCCGCAGCGGACGAATGATGGAAGGCCTGGCCTGCAACAGCAAATAGCCGTCCGGGGATTCCCTGGAAAGCTGTTTGCTGGGATGCCTGAGCAGCTCCTTGAATGGCTGCTGCTGGCCTGCTGAGACTTGAGAGATGTGAGAGACAGAAGGACACATCACTCCTGCTGGCCCCTTCCCACGATCTTACCGGTCCCCCTTGGTTAGTATATATGAACATGGATCATTTTTGATTGATCGAGTCCTTTAAAATCATGCAGGAGGGATGATCTTTGGGTGCCGTAGGTGGCTGACAGCTTCAGGGACGGTATTCAAAAGGAAATGTGGTCCGGTCGCTTTCTCCATGGTGGGCGAGAAAATTCATCCGATTTAACCTGAAAGGCAAAGTATACAGCAGTCACTAGAAGTCTTGGACCGTTTATTTTGGAGAACAGGGCGGAGAATTTCTTGCTTCAAGGGCAACGCAACGCAACACCATGATCATGGTGTCCGTTATTATCACCCGACCAAAAAAAAGTTCCACCCCCCCCCCCCCCCTCCTCTCCGCTGTATGACCCAGCAGTCGGTCGCTATAATGCGGGGAGGGCTGGAACCGATCATGTTCTTCAAGTTGAGGATGCATCGCCATTGCCATTTCGACGAGTCATTCCTGGTACTAGTCTTTTAGCTTGTCCCACCCAGCAAGTCCCGAGTGTCCGGATGATCTAAAACCGCGCCTGGAATGTACGGCCCTGGATGCGCCTCTCCCCTCCACCCTCCCTTTAAGTGAAAAAAAAGTAAGACATGACATGACTACCACTGCCTATCGGTTTCATGAGGCTTGAGTAACTTATTTCTGTTGTTGCATGGTAGAGCTTCCGATAGGTGGACACTGCAGAATAAGCACGTTGCTGGGGGTTGGTCAAATAACCCTCGACAGCTCTAGCTGTAGTAACCTCTTCCTCCCTCTCCAAGTACTGTCAACAAGTGCCAAAAGCTAACCCAACTTTGTGAGTTAGCAGTAAGCGTCATTGGAGCCGATCGAACCCATCCACCGTTATGAATTCACACACCGCCTTGAAACCTGCATGCAGGTCGGATTTCCTCCAGCCTTTCCTAATCTGCACCCTTTCATCCTTCCGTTCATCCAGAACAGTTCTCCGAAACCAACCATTCGATTGCTCTTTACCCATGGTAACCACTTGATTAGCGTCAACGCGTCGATAGATAGCTGAATGTTTGTCTGAACGGGCCCCATGCTGTACTTTTGACACTCCCCTACTTGGAGGGGAGGGGCTAGACAAGTCTACTTTTGACTTTGTGAGTTATCAGCTGAACAGATCGAATTTGTAAATTTTTTTTTTTTCTTATTCTACGTTCCTCGCCCTTCTTTCCTGGAATTCGCTGCTTGTCAATTGACTCTGCTCATGGTCCTCGCATCTCACTTTCTGATTCTGGGGGAAGGATGGACGAAATTAGGAACCATGATGGAGAGGATACGGCACGCTAAACCCACTCAGGAGCTGCACATCACGGGGTGTTGCCACGCTGGGGTGGGTTACCTAATAACCCACTAGCGTGTACTCACTAGCTCCGAAACCGGCCTAGACTCGATCGGGGAGGGAAGGCCCGGATGGGAAACTGAGGTTCAAGCGGGTTTATGGATTGGACGGGAAATGGACTATTATGGTTATACTACTCATGAACATGATTATGCAGAGAGATAATTAGTATGATGGAAGAAAGTTTACGGTGTAGCAGAACTACCGTGACATTCAGTAGTTATCTGAATCATGAGAGCTTTGATCAACTGAAGCAAGTAAGTATTAGTAACAATTGACCAAGGTAGTACTTAGCTAGCTATGATGCCAAATATATATCACTATAATGTTAGTGGTAACCATCTTCAAGTTCATGTACATCCCATTAGTGGTAAATCTTTCATTTCAAGTTTACAAAATAGTAGTATAATTTCCACTGCATAGTTTACTCGCATAGTGCAGGCTGCCTGAAATCATCCCCACTCGTTCTTTTTCCGTGAGGGAATTGGAGCTGGAAAGTCACCAGTTCAACCTCATCACAACACAAACTTACCACTACTACCGAACTTCAGCCCATCCACATCCTCACCTCACCCAAACTCCGCCTCCCCCTTTCCTTTTATTTTTTTTCTCTTTTCCCCACCACCACCACCTCCTTCTTCTTCTCCTTTCAGTAACTATCACATTTTTGTACTTGTCATCGGAACCCATTCGATTACCAGGATGGAGCCCCGATCTCATTCGGGTTAACGTGTTCTGTGGCCGAGTGATCTCTTGACACACCTCCAGGCTGGCAATCATGTCCGACTTCTCACGATTGCCCGCCCGAGGCAGCTCCTCGCCAGCACCTCCGCCTCCCCCACCACCAGCTCCCGTGCAACAGAGTCACAAATATTCCAACCGCGCGGCCAGTGCTCTGGCAAGATTCGCCCAGCCCTTCTTCTCAGGGTCTCGACCTCCTAGCCCGCACACGGCGGGAAGTCGTGCAGATTTGTCTGCTGGTCCCCGTTCAACAAGGTCCAAGTCATTGTATAGCTCACCTTTGCTTCTTTATTTGGCTCCCCTCCAGTTTCATCCGATTCGCCGCCTTTTCACGCGCTTTCTATGCTAGATCATGCACCACTTTCTTCTTGCGAGAACCTTTTGCAGACAAAATACTGGGAGGGAAAAAATAAGAAAGAGAAAAGAAATTGATCTGTTAACATTTCCACTAGACCTGGAGCATCCCAAACTGTTACGCATAAGACTGGTATTCCTATTGCCGCTCTAGATATCTCCCCGCAGCGGACACATGCAGTCATTGGCGGAAAGGAGATTCTGAAGACCATTCGCGTTTCGCCTGATCATTCTTCCGAGGAATTCAATCTTCGCAATGCTATCATCAGTTATTCATCCACCCACCATGGTGGCAGTGGACTCTCCGCCCGGCATAAAGACCAGCTGACTGTGAGAGATGTCAAGTGGTCACATGGCGAATATGACCAGATTATTGCCACGGCGGTGGCCAATGGCCGCATCGTGGTGTATGATCTGCGCCGAACTGGCTTGGAATGCTGCCGATTCCAGGGCCACAGCCGCCAGGTCCATCGGTTAGCCTTCAACCCGCACCATGCGTCATGGCTTCTATCGGGGAGTCAGGATTCTTCCATCCGAATGTGGGACTTGCGGACAGCTTCTGCGGAACGTGGCGTCTTGGTGTGTGGGAGCCTGGATCTGTTCCACGGTAACAGTGATGCCGTCCGGGATATCAGGTGGTCGCCAACCGACGGGGTCATGTTCGCAACTGCAACAGACAGCGGTGCGATACAACTGTGGGACTGCCGCAAGTCAAGTGCTCCGTTAATGCGGATTACTGCCCATGACCGCCCGTGCTTCTCGGTAGACTGGCATCCTGATGGGAAGCACATCGTCAGCGGTGGTACAGATAGACAAGTGAAAGTCTGGGATTTTTCTTCCTCTGCCGAACGCCGACAGAAGCCAACCTTCCAGTTTCGGACCCCTCAGGCAGTTCTCAACGTCCGATGGCGTCCTCCGTCGTGGGCTAGGGAACCGGAGGGCTCTGGTGATTGGCAGTCATCCCAAGTAGTGACATCTTACGACAAGGAGGATCCGCGAGTTCATCTTTGGGATCTTCGCAGGCCACACATACCGTTCCGCGAATTCGATCGGTATGATGCACACGCTACTGACTTGCTCTGGCATTCCAAGGACCTGTTATGGACAGTAGGTGAAGCTGGGGCCTTCACTCAAACTGATATCCGATACGCTCCTCAGGTTATCAACCAACGCCCGACCTGCTCGGTCGCTTGGAGCCCGAGCGGCGAAGTCCTAGCCTTCGCCCAGAAACGTCCCCAACGTAGTACTCTAGGTCTCAGCACCACTGAGTTCGTGGGCCCTCAACATGAAGAGAACAACAGTGATGAGGTTTTGAGTCAAAGCCCTGCAGAAGATGTTCTCGATGAGACTTCATTTGCTTCTATCCGCCATCGGCATAGCAAGTCGAGTAGTGTTCGGCCGTCTAAATCCTTAGGCAGTACCCCGCCTGGTGTGGGGGATCTCATTCCTATTCTCCCATTAGAGAAGGTTTTGTCGAAGATGAAACCCCCCGAGGCACGCCAGATTGGAGCAGTTGGAAGCATTCCGGGAGCTACAATGGATCGAGATACCTTTCAATACTTGGCATCCAATTACTCTTCTCTGCTCGATGGTGCTGATGCTGTACGCATGGATAAGTTATCGTCCATGCTCGAATCACTAGACCATAATGCACAGTGCTCGGAGGACGTTTCTCTGCTCAAACTAGCGCAGACTTGGCGCATTATCAAATTTGCTGTCGTCCAAGAGCTCGAGACCAGAGCTAGAGAGCAGCGTCGCAACTTAGACAAGGGGCCTCGCACCATGAAGAAAAAATCATCTAAGGAGGGTTCTGTTTCTGAGAAACCACGGGTGGTTGAAGATGGGAGACAGGACAAATTGAAAACCAGGATGTTCAAGGGGGTGGTGGAAAACGAAACATTGAAGCTTCCACTAACAGACTCTGAAAGCGCGTCAAATATGACGACGCCTCTCGCGCAGCCATTGCCTGACTCCCCTCTTGGGTCTTTGGACAGCTCGACTTCGCACATGACATCTTTGAATGACAACACGGAAATGAAGCCTCTTCCACCGTCGGTTCTCAGCTCTAATCAGGGCACCATGACTTCGAATGATTGGTCATCGATGTCAGATATTGATCCACAGCCAGTCCACCAATTACAGCATCGTCAATCTGATGCAAGTGAAGATGCCCCTATCCCACCTGACAGTCTGCCCTCCGAGCCAGGACCTGCTCCGGTGCTTCAAGATAACGGGGAAGACCAAAGATCTGCACCTCGAGCCATCTCTGGCAGAACAGATTGGCATTTGGGCGCTTCAAAGGGGACTTCTGAGGTAGACGAATACGACCAGAAACTGGAGGACAAGAAAGCAGCTATTCGCGACTATAGGACCTTTCCCAAGAAGGTTCTCTCATTAGAATCTCCTATGGTGCCTATTAAACCCCCTGGTTTCCACCGGCATGAGTCCTCGGAGAGCTTCCCCATGTTCTCAGCCTCAACAGAGAGCTCCCATCCGTCCAAATCAATGGCCACATCGTTATCTTCAGCAGCGAAACTGTATGAGGCTCGCGAGGACGGAGATATTGACCAGGAAGCGGCTACTGCAGAGCCTGGTAACAGCTATACTGAAGTCAAGGCGTCAGCCCCAAGGGCTATTCCTGTGATTGACAAAGCTACTCAGGGTTGTGAGATATTAGAAAGTATTCCTGATTCAGAGCATATACACCTCGAGCGACCGTCTAGTCCCCCTACTCTTCTGAAAGAGAGTCGGCCTCTGAATGCTCCAGGTCAAGAAGATGAAGATCCAGTGCAGAACGACTTGACAGCCAGTGGAGGAACTAGTGAGTTGATTGGTGTGACTGTCCCCGTCAGCCCTGACGTGACAACGAACAAGCCCTGGAGCGTTGAAATGCTTTTCAAAGAAGCAATTCGACACTACCATAGTGGGAACCACGTGGACATCCAGTCTGCTGCACACTTACTGCAGAAGCTACGAATTCTTTTCAAGGACTGCGAGAAGATTCTTCCCGACGATGAGGCAGAATACATATTCAGAGCTTACAACGAGCAGTTGGTGCGCCAGTCAATGTACATCGAAGCTGCCGAGCTTCGACTTTTATGTGTCCCGTCTTACCCAGCAGTCTACGAATACGCCCAGGGGGACACATTCATGAACGTGTTTTGTTTCACATGCAAACGTCCTTACGAAAACCCAAAGACCGATAATACGCGTTGTCATCGCTGTAACACTCCTCAGGAGCCATGCGCCATATGCATGAGCCTTGACCCGCCACCTGAGTGGGTTGCAGAGCTCTCAAATGCATCCGCCCATTCAACTCCAGAACTGACCTCCGAGGCCGCATCACACGCACTTTCATCATCACATTCTTCACTGAAAACCGAACCCATTCCCCAGAGTGAATTACAGCGTCTCGACACTCTTCTCTCCAAGCACCCTCGACCCAAAGGATCCACTCTCTGGACTTGGTGCCAAGGCTGCGGCCACGGGGGCCACTTGGCTTGCATAAGCACATGGTTAAACGATATCTCCATCAGCGAAGGTGGTTGTGCTACCCCAGGATGCATGCATGATTGCGGCCCTGGCCCGCGTCGCGAACACAACCGCTCCATCCTGCTAGAGGAATCGAAGAGACGTGACACTGCCGGCCGAAGAGCCGGTGTAGGCTTCATCAAACGAGACACATGGACGAAAGGAGAAAGCAGAGCCGTCGAGAAAGTTCGCGGCATGCTAGGCGTCGGTGCATCAGCCGGGAGCGCTTCCACAACAGCTACCACCGCAACAAGTGGTGGGCCTAGCGGGGCTTCCACTAGCACAATGTCACCCAAAAAGGTGCGATTGATAACGCCCAGTGAGCAGGGTCAACCGCGTCGAAGTGGTCCGCGAACTAGTCTTGGAGGCATGAGTGGGCTTAGC